GAAATCAAGGCACCCAAAAACCCACCAGGCTCCCCAGCAGGTCCCTGTGGGGTGGCACACACACCTGACCACACAGAAGGTTAGGTAGTGGCCATTTTAGAGGTGGGAAAGACAAGATACATCCAGGCCAGATAAGGTCACCCAGAAAAGGCTGCAAAAGGACTGGGACACCCCAGCTTGGGCAAATCCTCTGCTGTTCAACACTGGTGGCACAAGGGGTGCCAGATCAGAGGGTTTTCCTAGCCAAAACTGGCAAAGCAGGAACTCTGGGTGATCCCTGGATCACACACCAAAGGCGGCAATGCCATCCTGCCCAATGGCTCTGGGATGGTCCCTTGGCAGCCCTGCCCCCAGCTCAGCTGGCCACCCACAGCAAGTGCCATCCCTGCCACAAAATGGGGACGGTCACCTGCCTGTGGAGGTGTTTGTTTGCAAAGCCTGGTGGCACCTTGGGACCATGGCTAAGTGTTACGTGCTGGAGCCAGAGGCCCGAAATTAAAGCTGGCTCCACGGCTGTCGGTGTCGACACCTGGTGATGGGAGGAGAGGGATCGATGATGGAGAGTCTGTCGCTCCTGATGCATCGCTGTCAGGGTCAATACACAATTCCCGGGGAGATCAGGTGTCCAGGTTAACTGCTTTGCCTCCGTGCTAAGCCGATGGGCTGGCAGAGCCCCATCCTGCTCACACATCCTCCTCCCCAGCCACGCTCACCCCACAGCCACCAAACGCCACTGACAGCGGCCCTGGGGCTCGTGGCTCTTGTTTTCATCCATGCAGAGCTCAAGTGCAGTTCAAATGGGTGCCCAAGGCTGGGAAAGGGACACAGGGACAGCAAGGACCTGCCCCCCAGGAGCTTTTGGCTGCATCAAACCAGCCCACTGCCATGGGCAGCATCACCATGGGACCCTGTGGGGACACAGGGCTTGGGGACACAGGCCAGCAGCTCCTCTGGGCTGAGAGGGGAGATGAGACCTCTGAAGGGGGGAGCCCCATCTGCCAGTCTCCCTGTGCACCCCTGAATTCTTGAGCAACAGAAAAGGCAGGAGAGGAGGGAAACTCGCCCAGCACAGGTCCTGCAGGCTCACTGCCCGTGTCCTGCTCCTCAGCCTGGGTGGGCAGAGCACCCACGGGGCGTTGGCACAACAGCTGTCCCCTCCAGGTGACACCGCAGAGCCCCGCGGGACAGGAGAGCAGCGACAGCAGGGCTGCACTGTGCCCTCTGCACCAAGTGCACTCCATGGCACCCCGAAACCATCGCAGTGAGCACTGGCAGGAGGCAGCAGCCCTGCTGTGCCCCCATCCCCATGAGCCACGCTGGGCAAGATCCATCCCAGGGGGTCCTGTGAGGACGAGAGCCACCCGCAGCCAGGCTGCAGCATCTCCCCTTCCAACAGCTCCCGGGGGCTTTCAGCTGCTCATCTCCTCCTCCAGCACAGCACAACCCACCCGGGGGAGCCCAGTGTGACCCCCTGAGGAGGGGACCAGGGGGTCCTACCTGCTGTCAGCCCCAGAGCCAGCCTGGGGGGGACACAGCATCACACCTGGGACAGCATCACACCCTGGGGGGGACACAGCATCACACCTGGGACAGCATCACACCCTGGGGGGACACAGCATCACACCTGGGACACAGCATCACACCCTGGGGAGACACAGCATCACAGCCTGGAGGGACACAGCATCACACCTGGGACAGCATCACACCTTGGGGGGACACAGCATCACACCCGGGACAACATCACACCCGGGACACAGCATCACACCTTGGGGGGGACACAGCATCACACCCTGGGGGGACACAGCATCACACCTTGGGGGGGACACAGCATCACACCCTGGGGGGGACACAGCATCACACCCGGCGCAGACAGACCCGCATCAGCCCCCCCCCCAAAAAAATCCCGAGAAAACAGAGCGCGGCATGAATAACAAAAGCAGCGATCAGTAAAGAGTCTCCCAAGAGGCCGCAAGTTCTTCAATTAGAGCTCGCATTATAGGAATGAGAAACTCCACGCCGTCTTCCGTAAGGATAACACTTTTTTCCCCTCTCTCTTTTAAAGAATAAAGGGAGGGAGGGAGAGGAAGGGCTGCATCTCTAATGCAACAGACAGGTCTGCTGAGATTCACTTTGGCTCTTATTTTGACTTTCATCTAAAAGAGCTGCCCTGGGAATCCATTAAGTCCAATTTAAATCGGCTCTCCGCCCTCACGGCTTCTCCCCGCCTTCGCGGCCCCCCCAGCTCCCTTCTCCCCCTCCTCGCAAGCAAACAAACACAAAAGCAAGGCCGGGCAGGGCGGGCAGCAAGGGCAGGCAGCAAGGGCAGCACCGGTGAGGTTCGGAGCCCTTCCCGGGGGGATTACAGCCTGCCTTCCCCAGGGCAATTGCTCCATCTTTATTTCCCAAATAAACACAATCCGGCCACGTTCGGTGTCCCCAACCCCGGCAGCGCTTTTTGCGGGGAGCCCGTGGGGTTTGGGGACCTGCACATTTCCCCCCTCCATACACCACAATCATATTTCCCCCCGGTTTTATTCTTTTTGAGGACAATTATCTCCATTAACGCCGCAACCGGCAAAGTTGGACGGGATATAATCAAATACTTCAGGTTGGTTGTTTGTTTTTTGGGGGGTTTTTTGGGGGTTTTTTTCGGTTTTTTGGTATTTCTTTCCCCCCAGTGAGCTTCCCCACGCCGAGATCATTCCTGCGCCTTTGGGAATCGCCCCCCCTCGCAGCCGGGCGAGGGACGGACCCCTCGCCTTTCATCTCACCACACTCATTCAAGCTCTGCTTCTGTCGTATAAGCAGTTTTCCAGCTCTTCCCCCCCCCTCCTTCCCGCCCCGTAACACACCCGCTCTGCATTGCATCCTATTCATATGTTTTCAATCATCGCCGTTTCGTTATTTAAAACAAAAGCACACACGGTTCCCCACCCCCGGGCAGCACTCCGAGCCCCCTCACCGGGGCTCCACGGCTATTCCCCGGTTTGTTTGTTTATTGATGTCAACGGGAGGATTTGGAGGCAAAAAATTTGCCGTGGGAGAAAGGGAGCGGGAGGTGAAAGTCCCATCAAGGGGCTTTCCAAAGGCGCAGCCAGATGTGCAAACCCCACGATTCCTTGGGTTATCTGCTAGATCCATTTTTTTCCCTGCCCCGCCAGCCACCGAATAAAAGAAAGAAAATCCATCAAGTCAGCGTTCTCACGTGCAGACAACGGCAAGGAGAGCCAGGCGCCCGCCCGCGGCACCGCCGCAACTTTTGGAAGTATAAAACCATGCACATCCATAACTCCTCAATTAAATCAGCCTCCCCGGGAAGGCTTCCTTCTCTGCAGAGCCTTTCGCAGCCCCGTGCCCATTATTATTTCAACTTTGCCAAAGTAGGGATTCAGGACAAGCAAAAGGAAATCCACCCCCTTTACACGCACAAACATTTCCAAGTCTCAGCTGTATCTTTGTTCAGACACCCATCAATCGGCAAGTCAGGAGGGGTTTTTGGACCGGTTGCAAATTTCTTTTATTACTTCCAGAAAAAGCAAAAACAGCCCCCCCACACACGCCCCCCGGCTCCTCCGTTGCTGCTGCAAATAGGACACACACACAACACACACACAACACAACACACACACAACACAACACACACACAACACACACACACGCACGTATAATCCCCCCTCCCTCCCCAAACTCCGCGATGCCGGCGCCGTGCATCCATTCAATCGCAGCAGCAGCAGCACACGAGTTGCACAAGAGAAAAAAATAAATCCGGAAAAAGCTCTGTCCGCACACCCTCACCCGCCCCACCACCCTCACGCCCTCCCTTCCAATTCTGCTGCGGCTTCAAGGAAAAAAAAAAAAAAAAAGAAGAAGGAAAAAAAAAGGAAAAAAAAAAAAAAAGCACAAAGATGTAGCTTGCAACAATACCTGCGATGGTCCTCGCTCTCTCCTCTCTCTCCTGCTGGCTCGCTCTCCTCCTCTTCCAGAGCACAGTAGCCAGATTAGATCCTTAGAAAAAAAAATGTGAGAAATAGCACAATTCTCCCTTTTTTTTTTTTTTTTTTTTTTTTTTTTGCTTCCCTTCTCAGCAGCCCTTCTGAGCTCCTTCACTAACCATTATTCATAGACCACTAGGGGATATAAGGTAATTAGAAACGGCCCTATAGCATCCAGCCTGAAAATGTAATGCCAGCGGTAGGAGTGGTGGAGGGCTCTGGCTGCGGGCGGCTCCGGCAGAAAGTGCTCGCTTGGAGCTGGGGACCGAGGTGAGAAGTGGGGTGGAGGAGAGGGCGAGCGGCAGCGGGTGCTGGCAGCTCTCCCGACACAGACCAGGGTGGCCAGGGACACCGAGCGGCACCGGCTTGGGTTGGGTTTGGGGTGGTTTCTTTTTTTTTTGGATTTTTTTTTTTTTTTTTTTTGTATTTTGGAGTGGGGCTCGCCGTGCCCGTGTGAGCCGTGCTGGGGCTGCGTGTGTGTGTGTGTGTGTGTGCGCGTGTGTGTGTGTGTTTGTGCCAGGAATAGCAATCAGCAGAGGCAGCACACAGAGCGCAAAAATGCCATCATGCAGGGTCAACAGAAAGCTGCAGACATTTTTTTTTTCCTCTCTCTCTCCCTTTTTTTTTTTTTTTTTTTTTTGGTAGGCTTAATCCTCTGGAGCGGGGGAGAGGGAAAAGGAGGAGGCTGCTGCCTTCTTTATAGTTTTGATTTTTTTTTTTTTTTCCTTTTCCAACCTCGTAGGATCAGATTAACCCCCCCTCCTCGAACACACACACACACACACACACACACACACACACGCACACGCACACACACACACACACTCCAGCCCAGCCATCCCAACCCTCTGCCAGCACTGCACCGGGGGATGCCGGAGGGTCGGCGCAGGGCGGGATGCGGGTCTGGCCGGGCGGGATGCGGCTCTGGCAGGGTGGGATGCGGGTCTGGCAGGGTGGGATGCGGCTTTGGCAGGGTGGGATGCGGGTCTGGCAGGGTGGGATGCGGGTCTGGCCGGGCGGGATGCGGCTCTGGCAGGGTGGAATGCGGCTCTGGTGATGAGCCGGCTGCGATGAGCTAGGTGGGCTCGGCGGGGAAGCAGAGCAGGAGGGAGAAAACGGGGGGGGAGAAAAGGGGGGAGGTGGAGGCAAATGAACAAATCACACCTGCAGCTTTCTGCGTGCCGGAGCCAGCTGCAGCCCAGGCAGCGACCGGCAGGGAAAAATCCAGGCGGGCTCCCAGCACCATCATCTGCGGGGATTATTGAGGTGCACGGGGAGCGGGCGGCAACTCATGGCTGGCAGCGATTGATTTTGGGGAGGTTTATTATTAGCAGGAGGGGGAAAGGGAGGTGCTAACAAAGAGCGACCCTTACACACACACACACACACAGACAGACAGACACATACACCGATTTTTTTCCCAAGGGGTAAATAAAACCCGTCGCAGAGGCGAGGACGGGGAGCCGGTGCCCTGGCCACCCGTGCCGTGCCGTGCCGTGCCGGGATCGCGGCTCCGAGCCCCGGCTGCTGCCCAGCCCTGCCTCCTCCCACGGCTCCGCTCGGAGCCTCTCGTTAATTGAACTAAAGCTGTTCACCTTGATAACGCAGCACGGCAGCAAGTTTCCGAGCCGTACGCGGGGGGCTGGAGAGCTATTTGATCCACTTCCAAGGCGCTGCCTTTCAATTCAACCCCTTGCTCTTGAAGGATGGATAACCAGGCCCTCTCTTTTCCCTGTTAATTACTCGAGATAGCAGCCATCAAGCTGCAAAGCAGACCAAACCTCACAAGGGGACACAGCACCTGCAAAAGCAGGCTGCTTGTTCTCATCTCCCCTGTCTTTATTCTCCCCATCCCCATCCCCATGGCAGACCCAGTCTGGCCGTGTGTAGGTAATACACCACAATATGCTCCCAGCCACCTCCAGCTCCACACATGCCTCTCTGCAGGATGGTAAATCAAGCTGGGACCTCATGGCTCTCCAGGGACTCGCTGTTATTCCCTGTAATCACCAATCTGCCCTGCCCTTCACACACAGGAGCCTGGCACTGTTTGGCATCACAAGCCGTGACTGCCACCCCAGTGAAGCCAAGGTGGGATGGACCCAAAGGGCATCACCCCCCAGCTTCTCCTCTGGGATTGACAGAAGACTAAAGGATTTGTTATTTTTACACTGCAATCCAATAAATTCAACAATCTGGTCTGTCCGTGTTATTTCCCGGCTCTGGTATGTTTGAAATCCCCACCTCCAGGAGCCCTGTGATTTCGGGAAGATCTCAGCCCCGCTCTCCTCCAACCCTGACCTCACCGTGGTGGGGTGAAAGGTTGAAACCACAAGCCCCAGGGAGCCCCATATGCAAATTTAATCACCACCAAACACTTTGGTTGTTAAACACTTTTTCTTTTTCTGGAGCCTTTAAAGTTTTCTGCACCTACGATTTACGGGTTCAAAAAGGCTGATTTCATGACTTCTCAGCATTTCTGAGGTGTCGACACCCACGTCACCTCTGTTTGCATGACACGGTCATGTCTGTCTAAGCCAAACCACTGCCTGGGTGGGAGACCACCACCTATAACACCAATTAACTTCACTCATTAAAACCTCCAAGCTCACAGAGGATGCTGCTGCTCAGTTATGCAGATGGAAAAGTTTCCATCCCCTTGATAAAATCCAGATCCAGAGCATCCTCGAGCAATCTCACCCTGAGCTACCACAAAACAGCATCAAAAAGCCTCTTCCCACCTCCCCTGCCATGAGAGCAGGGCTCACCTTGCTGATCAAAGTCGGAGGCTTCCCTGGACATAACACAGCACCTCCTGCCCTGGAGAGGCTAAAAAATAATGACTCATAGCAATGTTATTTCTGGAGCTGCTAAAACAAAGGCACTCTGGCTCCCTCGGTGTCTCACCACTTTGACCTAAATGATAAGGCATCCTGAGAAAACTGAGCTTTTCCCACCAGCCCTGACATGAGTGGCCAACCCAGGGTCCAAGGACCTCCCCAGTACCTACACAGGATGCTCTAAGCTGGCTCTTTCTCATTCATCTTTATTTCATCCCTCTTCCTGGCAGATTTTCCCTCAGCCCCAATCCCAATGGATGGATTTTGTCCCCTGCCCAGGTGCCACACACCCCACACGTGTGGTGGCTCCTCGCAGGCAGGAGCAGCAGCCCTGCCCCAGCTCTCATCGAGCTCCGTGCATCGGCTCCGAGCGGATCCGATGGATTTTCATTTCCTAACTTTGCCCTTCGGGCTATTTCTAACGAGCTTCCTCACGCTTAAAAAAAAAAAAAAAAAAAAAGAAAATCCTTCATCTTGCAGCACGGTGTCAGAACAGCAACGCTCGGGATGACTGTGCCTGCGAGGAGGCTGGAAATTAATTATATCACAGTGGCTTCAGGTAGGGATCCATCCGCTGACCTCCTTGTCCAGCTCCCGTCTGGGACCCAGGGAACGGCCAGAAATCCCCTCCCGGAGCAAACAGGCTTTTTTTGGCCTCGAAAAATGTATTTTTGTGGTGTGATGTCTGGTCTGTGCAGCACAGCCGTGGATGTGGAGCCACCACTGTCCTCCCATGACCCCGTGCCCTCCCTGTACCCCACATCCCCAGCCTTGAGCCCCCTTGTGCAGCCTCTTCCTGCATCACAGGTCCATCCACCCTCCTGGACCCATCCCTGCTGAGAGGGAGATTCAGTCCTGGGTGCCTTAATTTCCACTAATCAGATGTTTTAATGAGTTTCTCAGATCCCACTCCCCACCACCACCACCACCCCCTCGGGGGCTGGCCCCGCTCCCTCATCGTGCTGAGGCCCCTGACACCTCCAAGGCTTTCCTTGGTGGGAGTGCGGCGATTATTTCTCTCAAAAGGTCTCTTATAATGGAAACCATCTCTGCATCCCTCCCTGGTCTCCTCCTGCCGTGACCCAGGCTCCATCGAGAGGAGCTCTGCTCCAAGGCAGCGCCGTGTTTCCATGGAAAGAGTGAATAGCAGAGTCTTCCCAGTGGTTTATTAGAATTCCTTTTACTCCGATGGAGAGTTTTAGAGCAAAGTAGAAAGGCTTTAATGTGGGGCTAATGGAGCCCCTGGGAAGTCCAGGAAGGAAATCTCCCCTGGAGGAGGCGTGAGGAGAGGGAGGGCAACTTTCAAGACGAATTCCTGGACAGGTTGAAATTTTTTTGCAGGAGCCATCTCAGGCAGCGAGAAATGGAAATGAATGTTTGTTTTATTTTTAACAGATGTTACAAAAGACCTGCCAGTAATTCAGTGAACGATGCAAAACCTAGATCCCACTCACTTTTCCCGGCATGTCTTCCATCCCCTCCCTCTCCTGCTTGGTACAAACGCTTATTTGCATTTAGCATATCACATTAAAAAAAAAAAATAATAAGAAATTAAGCAATAAAATAACAATTGTACACCACTTCATTTCCTCCCTCCCTAAGGTTTTGGTTTCAGGTTAAATCCTTGGTTGGAGCAGCTATTAATTGTTTTTAATAAATTTTTCTGTCTCTTCAGATTTCCCAAACCTATATTTTACACACCCACTTTGGGGGGTGCCCTCTTGCCAGGGCCCCCATCCCTCTCTCTCCCTGCTGCTCCCTCATGGAACAGCTCTTGACTCTGCAAAGTGTTTGGAGCCCCAGTGTGAAACACAGACTGCAGCCTCTTCTTTGGGAAGAAACACAGGGATTTGCAGTTGAGAGATGGGCAGAGGGAAAGGGAAGGAGGTACAATGAGGGGGTCCTAAAACCATCCAGCCAGGGGCTGGAAAAGCAGTAAGAGTGTGGGTCTCCAAAACACACAGTGCAGAAAGTGATCCATGCATGAACACACACAGCACAGCATAGGGAATTCCAAAGCTGATCTGAAACCCACCACGGTGCCAGAGGGGTATCTGGGATGAAACAGAGCATTTATGAACGACACACATGAAACCCAGACCTGGGAGGCCAGCGGCAGTCATGGAATCCCAGAATGGTTTGGGTTGGAAGGGACCTTAAAGCCCACCTTGTTCCAACCCCCTGCCACGGACTGGGACACCTTGCACTACCCCAGGTTGCTCCAAGCCCCTTCTAACCTGGCCTTGGACGTGTCCAGGGATGGGGCATTCACATTTTCTCTGTGCCAGTGCCTTACCACCCTCACAGGGAAGATTTTCTCTCTTATATCCAATCTATCCATGCCCAGTGTCGATGTGAACCCATTCCCCCTTGTCCTGTCACTCCATGCCCTTGGAAAGAGTCCCTCTCCAGCTTTTGTAGTCCTGGCCAGAGGAGCCCTGAATCCCACGGATACCAGATTTCCTGAAAATGAGCAACTTTGGCAGCTCCTGGCTTAACTCTTGCCTGAAAAACACAAGCTGCAGTGGTTCCCCTTTTCATGCCCAACTGTGAAATACCACTTCTCCTCTGGACACCCAGCTTTCCAAAGGGTATCCGGAACATTGAGTGGGCAAATGCAGGGTGATTTTCTGCCTGGTTTCCTGTTAGCAACCCTGCATGCATAACCCCAAGTGGCCCATGATTCCAAACACCAGCATACCCTGTGCTGGATTCACACTCCATCGATGCCTTGTTTGTGGGATTCCAAGCAGGAAAGGAGGAGACAGGCTCTTGGGAGCAGACACAGGTCAGTACTGACACAAACAGGGTGTCCCTGCACCCATTATAAACCCTAAAATCTGCCTGATTTCCAGGCAGAAAATGGCATCCGTGTGCACTTCCAGGTGACGGAGGAAAAGTGGCTGTTTGCACTGAGCTTTCTCCTCTTCCCGTTACAATCCTGCACCTGGTTAGCAACTGTCGGAAAGAGGTTAATCACAGTCCTTAAATCAGGAACCTTGTTGTGGTATGCTCGGGATGCACATCTGTGCTCTCCATGGCTCATCCCCGGCGGCATTTGGGAGAAGGCAATATGCCAAAAAATCCCCACCCCCAAATAAGCCACCCAACCCCCCCCCAAACGAGCGACAAGCATCCCAGGGTGCAGGATCCTGCTGATTCCTTGAGCTGGTTCTGCAGCACACGTGGAAGGCTCATGATTCCCCCAGCCCCACCACGGCCGTGGGTTAAAGGCATCTCGGATAATGCGGTGTTGGCACGGCCATTATGGGGCAGAAAAGGCTTTTGAGGGATTGGGGTTTTGCTCGCTGGCCAACCTTGTGATGGAGGGGAGGAGTAATCACCTGGAAATGCCTTGGGAGCAAACCATGGGGTGGTTTCACACCCCAACCCAGAGCTCAGCCCTTGGCAGAGCAGCTCCAGCAGCCGCCAGCTGCCCAGCTTGGCTCCCGATTTCCAAGCATTGCAAAGCCTGGCCTGGCCTTGCTATTTCTAGGCCTGTCCCAGGGGATTACCCTGCTCTCCCTGTTTTGGGAAAAAGCAGCATTCCAAAGCGTCAGAGCCCTGGTGCTCAGCCGGGCCGTTCCAGGCACACACGCACACACGTGCACAGCCCGGAAAATGGAGAGGAATTGATCCCGGAGGCAAATCTCTTTTGTTCTAACCCCGCTGCTGTAACTGGATCTCCCCAGGTTCCCCGGCTCGGGAGCTGCGGAGGATCACATCGCTTTCATGCCTTCTCCCAGTGCCAGCTTGTCACATTCCCCGGGCGGGAAGGGGAGGCATCGCTCCCAGCGCTTGTTTACCTCGGCACCGAGCAGCACGAGGGGGGCACGGAGGTGATGAGCCAAAACCTGGAGGGAGCAGATTGCGGAGCCGCGCCATGAGACCACCCCCAGCTCACAGGCTGCCCCTTTTTAATGAGGTCCCCCCCGCCATCCTCCTCCCCTGTGCCCTGACATCCTCCTGCCTTTCCCCGCTGCCTTGTTCCGACTGCAGAAATGCTGATTCACAGAGCCCGGCGCAGGAGGCGTTTGGGAGGCACAGAGAGAGCAGCACAGCATCGCCCCAATGCACCCGGAGCTCCCCGGGCGCCCTCGCACCGGGCACCGGCGACAGCCGAGTCGCTGCGGATTAAATCCGCTCTGCGCTCCTTCCAGCACCTCTTTCCCTGTGACTCCCTCGCCTCCCAGCAAGGTGAACCCATCCCCTCCGCTCCCCGGGAGAGCTCGCATGCGAATTTGCCTTCCCTCTGTGCACAGGGGAAAAGCAAGGTGAAGGATTGCAGGCTGCACACGGTGGTGGGATGGGGTGGATGGGTGGATGGAGTGGAGGGCACTTCCCCAGGGATGCACTCTGCTTTCCCAGCGGCAGGGCAAAGGGAACAGCACCCCGACCCGCTGCCAGGCAGGGTCACACCTCACTCCCGGGTGCTTTGATGCATCACCAGCAATCCAGACCCCATCTCCTCCTTCCTGGGGGTCCGTGCCCCGGCTGGGTCCTG